GATGGCTCCTGTGGGTAAAACTGGCGACCCGACTGGCTGGGGCAGAACCCTAGCCTTCCTCTCTGTTTCACCATTCCCTTCTTCCTCTCTTGCGTCCGGCGCCATCTTCTTCCTGCCTCTCCCGCCGTCGAACTTCAGGTCTGGTCCGCGTTTCTGGCTGTCGTTTCGTGTGCATGTAGATTCAGTCGACGTCTAGGGTTCAGTCGACGTCTAGGGTTCGATTTGTGTGCATGTCTAGACTTCTAGACTTCAAGATCTGTGTGCATGTCGTCTGATGCGGTGCTGTTGTTTGTAGATTCAGTCGACGTCTAGGGTTCGATTTCTGCTGTGGACGATGCATCTCGGTTCTTCACCTGGTTGATTACGATGGATGAGGTAGTCTATGATGATGTGCTCTTCTTTACGCTCGATTCATGGTCTCCTGTTTCTTGGTTTAATTTGTATTTGTTTCTGAGCAATGCACAAGATTGGGGTTAGGGTTGGCCCTTGGTCTTCGGTTGCGGCGTCGTCCTCGTCTTCGGCTTCCAAGGGATTGGATCTAGTGTGGTTGATTCTTGCTGGGGTGTCCGGCGATGGTCCTGGGGCAGGTTCGTTGCTATATTCATTCTTTGTGCTGTCTATTTGCTCCCTTGCTTATCGTGTTGGATCTGTATGAGTGGATGGATTTCGTACGGCTATTTTGGCGGCCCCGTTGTTTGCTGGTTTTGATGTCTAGTGCCGTTGACAGAGGGTTTAGGACTTTGTTCAGGCCTTGGGTTAGGTTTTGGGGCTCTGTTCAAGTCTTGCGTCGTGACGATTCAGACATGGATAGTTCGTATGTTGGTTGGTTAAGGTTTCCATATGTTGATTAGGGGCGTTTGATGGTTCTTTCTGTTCGTGAGTGTGGTTCAGAGGCTTTGGTGGATAAAGCTGATGTTTCATTTTAGGCTAATTTTCGGCTATGGATCTGTGCAGGCCATGTGTTAGATATAGTGTTGGTTCAGGCTTGGGTGTATGGTTGGCACGAGGTTAGATATGGGGTTTTGCTCTAACTGGAGTATGTTTTCAGTCTGTAGGGATGGGCAGATGTTGTGTTCTAGGGTATACTGAACACAATAGTTGGTGATTTTTAATTCACGTGTGTTGACACGCTAGATAGGATGAATGCTTGACAGGTCCTAAAGGTGCGGCGTGCTGGAGGCAGTAAATCGTGCGTTCTACTTATTGGTGTGTTGATTCCTGGTTATAGGGCTTTCTGTTTGTGTGATGTGCATCTTTTGTATGTGTTGTTCCTGGCTGGGTGCTTTGTGTTGGTTTTCTGAACCGGAGGATCTAACACATGTTTCTGTTTTTTCCTCTCTCTTGTGTGGAGTGGGTTTACTTTTTGATGGTACTATATGTGATATACCTAAGGGTCTGGATATGTGCCTCATAGGAATAACTTTTTTTTAACCGGCATTCTTCGCGGTTGAAATGGCAAATTGGGATACAGGTTGACGATTAGTGAAGATAATGATAGTTGTTTGTATACCTCTACTCTTATAAAAAACCGAGTCGGTGATGATGGTGTGCCTGCCATCTTGCAATATATACCGTTCGATCTATATCTGACGGATAGAAAGCAAACTATGTCAATTTTGCAAAAAAGTACCAGCACCTCTCTCCACATTTGCAAAGGCGTTCCCTCGTTCATCCTTATCTCCCACAACCACATTGTTGAGCAATTAAAAAAGGAAGTCTCTGGAACAATCTAGCATGGTGGCCACTGTCGGTGTCGTCCATCCCCATGCCTCATCTCAGTCCGACCATCAATCACCACCACGCCCCACTCCTCCTCGCTTTATCTCTCCTCTTTCTTGAGATATCATTAGTTTTTACACATGTAATTACTCCCGCATGATTTAATCACAACAGGTGTTTTGTAAAAAAATGCATCTTGATGTTCCGTGCAATGCACGGGCATCTTGCTAGTTACATAGAAGGAACAACAATCCTCTGGATTCCATTGGCACTGTGGGAAGAAATTCCTACATGTTTGGCTAAAAAAAGCGAAAAATGGTAAAGAGCATAAGGAAACCAGATCGAAGCACAGTTATTTGATCAGGCAGGCGCAATGGAATGAGTCGGTACTCCTATTGACCCATGAAAGTGTATGGCATGGATTGGTTTAAATCGTTACAAGTGCTTCAGCATAACCTGACAAAGAAACAAAAGAATTCACATTAGACTAGAAACTCTCTTTTTTATAAGGATAAGAAACTATATACTAGCTAGAGTTAATGGTCATGGATAAATATCCAGAGTCGCTTGCATCAAGTGAATGAATGCATACCAATAAATTCGTACATGTAAGCAAGCATGCATGATATGTACATACCTATGAGGCTAGCTTAGCGTTGAGGAGGAGGTCAGAAGGCGTAGTGGCGCTGACCAGTAGGTGCACGATCAGCCATCATCTCGATGGGGCAGCCGTGGACATCCCCAAGTCCGTAGTGGGCCATGAGCAGCCAGATGAAGGTAAGGAGCTCCCCTCCACTGGCTAGCAGCGCCGCATGCATCTCCGGCCGCGACTTGCTGGCGACATGGAGGAGCAGACCTACCCATGCCTCTCGGATCTCCAACAGCTGCGCTTCTGTGCATTCCTCTGGGGGGTCCGATAATAAATCAAATCTAGTCAAGTACAATATTGCCCGACGCTGGATGTCATTAACATCCGCACCCTTCAAATTTTTATAATGCCTTGTTACTGACGCAAGATAACTTTGGTCGCTATCCCTGATTGGCAGCATTTCAGGGTGCGTGACCAAAAGATAAAACATATACTGGGATATCATCCGGCATACACCACGGACCGAAGCATCGCTAGGCTCACTCTCCACAGCAGCAGTGGTTACATACGTACTCAACTGTACCTCTGTGAATACATGGAGGATGATAATGGCATCACAATCAAAGTTGGAATCAGGTTCCTGCGCTAACTTCCCTAGCAGTGGACCAAGAGTTGGCCATTGCTGCTGGGGGCTACCATCATTTCGATACTGAGCTATCCTCTGGACGACGCATCTCATGATGTGCTCATCCACCTCCACAAACTTGGTGTCCACCTGCTTACTGATCCACAACTTTTGATATGCCGTCCTGCAAAATACATTCGCTAGTTTCCTGATCACAGACATGCTTTTACTTGAGTGCCGGTCATACTGCCCCAAATAGTTTAACATGTTGAACTGACCCATGGAGTTTGACCACAACACCCTTCTTTTCCTTGGACGCCTACACCTAGTAATGATGGAACCAAGGAAGCTACAATGCCGAGTATCTAGGCACGCACAAGATCGAGGTGACATCATGATGATACATACTGAGGAAACTTCAAGAGAGAAACCGCCGAAAAACAGTCCATAGGTGATTGCAGCGTCAAATGAAATGTAGTGCCACCTCTCTTCTTTGTTTCTTACTACCGAAGAGAAGAGCACAAAAGCGGCCAGAAAGGAAAGATGTGAGATGCACCGAAGTATGGTGCAACCCCACGTCCGAAGCACGAGGGCCTTAGTATAGATATCATCATACATCAGGCCGAGTTGAATCTCCATGATCTCGAATAACCTGGTTGAAAGGTCTGGGCGCAACATATCGATAGCCCAACCGTGAAGGGGGCAATTAAGGCCAGTAAAAAACGTGCGCACAAGATCTGCTGAGCTCAAGGCAGAGGAAACAGGGCCAGGAGAGATAAGGTATGTATCCCAACGAGAAGACAAGTCCCTGACGTTTCTCAGGCTGCCAGTAATAAACAAAAGGATGCTAGGAGCAAGAAGCTGCATGTTAGGGCCGCCATCGAATGATTTCCAGAAGATATACAGGGTGAGGGACGCTTGGACAACAAGATTCAACAAATGCCGCCGCCAGAGAGTGTTGTCCTCGATGGCAAAAGCAGTGATGGTGTCTTGTCCGCCGAGATGTATGAGGAGGAAGGGCGCCCAGAAAAAAGCCAGATGATGAGTGGAAACCTCTTGTCGCGAGATGAGGCCTAGGACATAAGCTGCTACCACGTCCGCTCCCAAGTAAGCTAGCCACATTAATGATCTCATTGCACTGTTTCTGATACGCCGCCGGAGGCTGCCAGCAAAGAAGAGAAAGAACTGGATTGTGAAGCTAACAAGCACCAGTAGTTGGATCTCCCACTCATTGAACAGCTGCACCATGCTTTTCGTTGCTAAGTGGTTTCCCCCAGTCATTGACGCTCTTCCCTAATATTGTTACAATATAATATAATGCATACGTCAGCCTGGCTTAATTTTGCGTAGTAATAATAATAACAACAAATTTCAACTTGGCAAATAAACAGCAATTAAACCTGTCATGATATATATGATAGAGCTATTCTGCTGCAGCCAGGTACAGAAAATTATTCTGTACAGGCGCGCGTGCACCTTACACGATCAGGAAATAGGGGGGGGGGGAAAAAACCGTGCCCTGAACCCTCTTCCCTAACCTCCCTCCCGACCATCCTCACCTTATATGATAGTAGTAGTATTTGCAGGCAGAAAGGTGCGGAGGCACACACGGGAGATGAGAACTAAATTCGAGTTGATGTGGAGAAAAACAGGCTACAGAAAGCATTGACGATCATGCTAGGGCGATTAATTTCAAGAAAATGTTGGAGGATTTGATCAGTTTGAAGAGATTATAGACTTACGGAGGGGTGAAATCTCTGTACGTTGCGCAGCGAACTAGCCCTAGCCATTTCCTGCAGCTGAGCTGGCGCTTTCTTGCCGTGTTTCTTCTTCTTCTGAGAGAGAGGTGACCTAGCACTTCCCGTGTTTCTTTTTTTGTTCTTGAATATGGTTAACTAGCTAGAGATGGTTGCCTACAAACGGAATAACTAGTAACTAAGCCATGGCTAACTATATATAAAAGAGGTGGGAGAGTTGCTGGGAGGCGTTGGTGTTGGTGGAAAGGAAGGGAGTTCTATATAGATCCCCATCTGGACGACCATGGCGAGACTACGGAGGCTCCCAAAGAATGAATGCTCGGCCCCCACCACCTGCGTGTGAACTGTGAAACACGCCGGGTACCGCAGCGTCTCTCCCCATGACCGCTGGAAAAGCCTGAGCGCCCGTGACCTATCACTGCGCATCCATGTTACTACTACCGTTCAATCCGAGTCAGGGGCGACGGGGGAGGGGGAACTTTTCTTCTTTTTATTTTGATTCCATGCTGTTCACGTGGACAAAATCATTGAGTCAGCACTGCACATCTTTTTTTTGGTGAAACAATAAATCATAAAATTATATTGAATTTTCCGGAAAGGGCAAAGGCCATGTATTAAGTATAGCACAGATCCTAACAGAAACTAAAAAATACATCCAAAAATCCTCAAAGGTGCCAAAGACTTCTTCCTTCTGCATCCATCGACGGTACGCCACGAGCAAAGCTCGTTGCTCAGGCTGGACTTCGGGTCCCGAAAACCGATACCCAAACCAGACCCGAGCCGATATGACTGAAATGTCGGGTAGTTCGGTTTTCTGGTTCAGATTCGGTTCTTGTTTTTTCTACTGTTTGGGTTTCGGGCGAAGTTCGGTTTTCATATCTGGTTGCCTAAGAGCATCTACAACCGAGCTTGACAAATCCGTCCCACTAAACGTCTACGGACGCGACCCCAGACAGCGCCGGACGGCCCCTCATATGTCCTTGCCGGATAACCGCACTCCTCACATCCAAACCTTCAAATCCATGCAATCCAAGCACGTGGATCACATAGCACAAATTCATCACAATTCAACAAAGCAAAACAATTCACAATTCAACAATCCGGACATGACAAAATAAAATTCAACGTCCAAGTCACAACTGGACAATCTGATGAATCACTGGTCGGACACCATCCGTATCGCGTGCTCTACCTCGGCTGTCGTCTATGCCGCCTCGTACTCTCTACGCATGTTGATCTCTTTCTGTTGGGAACGAAGCATGCAATTTCAAAAAATTTCCTACGATCACGCAAGATCTATCTAGAAGATGCATAGCAAAGAGAGGGGGAGAGTGTGTCCACCGTAAAACGAAGGCGGAAACGTTAGCTAACGCGGTTGATGTAGTCGAACATCTTCACGATCCAACAGATCCAAGTACCGAACGTTTCGGCAGCGCTGTGTTCAGCACACGTTCAGCTCGATGACGTCCCTCGAACTCTTGATCCAGTAGAGGGTCGAGGGGGAGTTCTGTCAGCAAGATGGCATGGTGACGGTGTTGATGATGTGATCCGCGCAGGGCTTCGCCTAAGCACTACGACGCTATGACCGGAGGAGTAAACTGTGGAGGGGGCACCGCACACGGCAAAGAACAATTGATGTACCTTTGGGGTGGCCCCCACCTACGTATATAAAGGAGGAGAGGGGGAGGCCAGTCGGCTCCTGTAGGGCGCGCAAAGAGAGAGGAGTCCTACTAGGACTCCAAGTCCTAATAGGATTCCCTTTGGTGGAAGGGGGAAGAAGGAAGGGAAAGTGAGGGAGTCCCGGATTAGGGGGTGTCCGGATAGCCGGACTACCATCATCGGCCGAACTATCATCGGCCGGACTATCATCATCATCGACCGGACTCCAAGACTATGAAGATACAAGATTGAAGACTTCGTCCCGTGTCCGGATGGGACTTTCCTTGGCGTGGAAGGCAAGCTTGGCAATACGGATACGTAGATCTCCTACTATTGTAACCGACTCTATGTAACCCTAGCCCTCTCCGGTGTCTATATAAACCAGATGGCTCTAGTTTGTAGGACACAACAACAACAACCATTACAATCATGCCATAGGCTAGCTTCTAGGGTTTAGCCTCCTTGATCTCGTGGTAGATCCACTCTTGTAAACATCCATAATATCAATATCAATCAAGCAGGACGTAGGGTTTTACCTCCATCAAGAGGGCCTGAACCTGGGTAAAACATCGTGTCCCTTGTCTCCTGTTACCATCCGCCTAAGACGCACAGTTCGGGACCCCCTACCCGAGATCCGCCGGTTTTGACACCGACATTGGTGCTTTCATTGAGAGTTCCTCTGTGTCGTCACCGATAGGCTTGATGGCCTCTTCAATCGACAACGACGCGGTTCTGGGTGAGACTTTTCTCCCCGGACAGATCTTTGTATTCGGCGGCTTCGCACTGTGGGCCAACTCACTTGGCCATCTGGAGCAGATCGAAAGCTACGCCCCTGGCCGTCAGGTCAGGTTTGGAAGCCTAAACTTCACGGCCGATATCCACGGGGACTTGATCTTCGACAGATCTGAGCCACAGCCGAGCGTGCCGCGCTGTCACGACGGGCACGACCTAACTCTGCTGCCGGACAGCACCTTGGAGGCCGCACACGAATCCGCTGCGACCCATAGTCCGGAGCCGATCGCACGGATCGAGGACGGATGGCTGCACACCGCCTCGGGAGCTGCAACCTCCACGGCGATGGAGCCGAACACTTACCTTGTCCCGCATAAAGCCCATGACTCCGAGGTGCCGGACCCCCTGCCGGACTCCGAAACCTCCTGCGCCCCTGCCAGTCGAATCCGATTGGGCGCCGATCATGGAATTCACCGCTGCGGACACCTTTCAGCACTCACCCTTCGGCGATATGTTAAATTCGCTGAAGCATCTCTCTATCCGGAGTGCCCTGGCCGAACTACGGCCAGGATGGTCGGGACGCGGACAATGAAGAAATTCAGAGCCCACCCACCACCCACTTCGTAGCCACCGTCGACGATCTAACCGACGTGCTAAACTACGACTCCGAAGACATCAACGGTATGGACGATGATGCCGGAGACAATCAAGAACCAGCGCCTACAGGGCACTGGAAGGCCACCTCGTCACATGACATACATATGGTGGACACCCCAAAGGGAAGCGATAACGAGGAACAACGGGACGCGGCAGAGGATAATCCCGCCGATAAACAACCAAAACGGTGACATAGACGCCGCCCTAAGTCCCGCCTCGATCAAAGAAGCATTCCTAACGACCCAGCGATAGAGCAGGGCAAACCAGCGGACGACGAACATACAACCAAGCAACCATCCGAACAAGACGAACCGGATAATCAACCACTTCACGGAGCAATCAACAGTCCGGACACAATACCGGAGCATAAGAACCTTCACAAAAAACTCGTCGCCACTGCAAGAAGTTTGAAGAAGGAAAAATGGAAGCTCGAAAAAGCGGAAGACATACTCAGAATGAAGTGGAGCAAAGTACTCAAGATCGCAGACAAATATGGCAATGGCCATCAAACAAAGAGCTACCCGAAGCGCAAGTTGCTGCCAGAATTTGACGAGGAAGCCATAGAACCCTCACAGTCAAAAAATAAAGAGGCCGCCTGGCCGGATAGACGGCCATATGACAGGCCAAAAGCGACAAGCGGCGCCGCACACAAGCCGACTTATGATCCTGGGAAAACGGACGGCCCAACTAGGTCCATCTACGGGCCAAAAAAGAGGGCCCCAGGAAGTAACACAACACGACAAGTGTTTGAAGACAGCGGCACACCCAAATACAGGGGCGCCGCACACCCGCTATGTTTTACCGATGAGGTGCTGGATCATGAATTTCCAGCAGGGTTCAAACCCATAAACATCGAGGCATACGACGGCACAACAGACCCTGGAGTCTAGATAGAAGATTACATACTACACATACACGTGGCTAGAGGAGATGATCTCCACGCCATAAAATACCTACCCCTCAAGCTCAAAGGGCCAGCTCGGCATTGGCTCAAAAGCCTCCCAGAAAACACTGTTGAAAGTTGGGAAGAGCTTGAGGACACGTTTAGAGCAAATTTTCAAGCGACTTATGTCCACCCTCCGGATGCAGACGATCTGAGTCATATAACCCAACAGCCCGGAGAGTCAGCGCGCAAATTCTGGAACATGTTCCTTACCAAAAAGAACCAAATAGTCGACTGTCCGGACGCGGAAGCCCTAGCAGCTTTTAAACACAACGTCCGAGACGAATGGCTCGCCAGACACCTCGGCCAAGAGAAGCAAAGAACAATGGCCGCGCTAACAAGCCTCATGACGCGCTTTTGTGCAGGAGAAGACAGCTGGCTAGCAAGATGCAGCACCCGCGACCCGAGTACATCCGAGATCAGAGATGGAAACAGAAAATCACGGTGCAGGAAAGATCAGCGCCGGAATAAAGAAAAAAGCCCAAAGGGCACGGCGGTCAACGCCGGATTCAAAAGCTCGCGGCCAAACAATAAAACACTGCCTCTTAAGGACAACAGCGACAAGCTATCAAATTTAAACAAAATCTTAGATTGGATATGTCAAATCCACAGTACCTCCGGAAGGCCTGCAAACCATACCAACCAAAATTGTTGGGTTTTTAAACAGTCCGACAGACTCAACGCCGGACACAAGGGGCTCGATGCGCCAAGCGAGGACGATGACTAACCCCACCAGCAGAGCACCGGAAGTCAAAAGACTTTCCCACAAGAAGTCAAAACAGTAAACTCGCTTCATGTGATAGTACGGAAAACCAACACGGCACTCGCTAAGACAAGTGTTGCACGGTCCACCCCAGCGGAACACCGAGATTGGATGTCAAAACCAATCACTTTCGACCATCTGGATTAGTCCAGAAGTATCCGGAACGCAGGATAGACTGCCCTGATATTGGATCCCATAACAGACGGACTGCAATTCACGCAGGTTTTGATGGACAGCGGCAGTAACTCAAACCTGCTATATCCGGACACAATCCGCAAG